TTATAATCTTCCTTATTATTATTATTGGTATTATTATGTATGGTCTTTATCCATGAGTGAAACCCTCTAGTTATTATTATTATTATTATTATTATTATCATCATCAGTGATGATGATGATGGTGATGTATGGTCTTTATCCATGAATGAAACCCTATAGTCATATTATTATTGTTATTATTGTCATCATCAATATTAATATTATTATTAATATTAAGTATAGTCTTCATCCACGAATGAAACCTTATAATCTTATTATTATTATTGGTATTATTATGTATGGTCTTTATCCATGAATGAAACCCTCTAGTTATTATTATTATTATTATCATCATCAATACTAATATTCTTGTTAATAATAAGTATAGTCTTCATCCATGAATGAAACCTTATAATCATCCTTATTATTATTATTATTGGTATTATTATGTATGGTCTTTGTCCATGAATGGAACCCTATAATCTTTATTATTATTATTATTATTATTATTTTGTATGGTATTTATTCATGAATGAAACCCATGAATGAAAGCAAGTACTTGTTGTTGTGTGCCTTCAGTTTGTTTCTGATTTATGGGGAGCCTAGGGTGAGCCTATCATGGGATTTTCTTGGCAAGTTTTTTGAAAGGAAGTTTGCCATTGCCATCCTTTGAGGCTGAGAGAGTGTGACACACCCAGGGTCACCTAGTAGATCTTTAACTTTCTCTTCCAAAAATGTTGGTGCGTCACAAAACTACAAATACCAAGATTCCAAAGCATGTATGCAATATACATATATCTATATCTACTATATAGATACATATAATCTATATATATTCTCTTTCTCTTTATGTATATACACACACAGATAGATAGATAGACACATACATACTATGTATATACAGTCGGTCTTCTGTATCTATGGACTTGGAATTCACGGTTTCGATTACTAGTGAATGGCAAGCCCACAGCTCGCTTCCTCCCTCCCTCCCTGCCCTCTTTCTTACCCCCAGGTTTATCTTTGCCTTGGGGATCAGGAGGGGGTTTTCCTTAACTCCGAGGGGGCCAGTCTGGGCTCCCCATTTTGGCCAGGTAGGTAGGAAACCCACCCCCAGCCCTCCGGGGTCCAGTGGTACCGGGTGGCAGTGAGACAGGGTGCAGGGGCCACCAGGACCTATAACATATCATTGACTGTGGTGGAGGGGGATGGGGCGTGCACCAGGCCACAAGCGCCACTGGGAAAGCAAGTCCCAGTGGCGGCCAGCGCATGTTACAGGCCCCATGTGTATGTATGTGTATGTGAGGGCTTGAGAGAGTTTCCTGTACATTTAATGGTGTTATACAAGAGGGAATCTCAGTTGGTGTGGCTTTTTACTTGGTCAAATGAGAAACCACAAGACCAGGGGTAGGCAACCTTTCCCCTTTAAGGGCTGAGGGACTTCAGCTCCCAGAATCCCAGGAGCTATTGGCCAACATGGCTGAGGCTTCTGGGAGCTGAAGTCCCTCGGCACTTAAAGGGGAAAGGTTGCCTACCCCTGCACAAGGCAAATCCTTTGACACAATCTTTATCTCTCTTCAAAACGCTTTGTTAATGTTTGAGAGCGGAAGTTTGTAAACTGGAGAGTGTTACTTGATAGCTTCTTAGATATCTGCCTCTCCTACCAATATATTTACATGTAAAGACTTTACATCATTAGTTGAATAGCTCTGAATTTGATAGTGTGTGTAGATGTTATCGGGGTGACATTTGAGATCCTGTTTCTTTATCTATTTTCTGCATTGTAGATGATTCAGATCTGTATGTTGAATTAAGTTTTCTCTTCAAAGGTTTTGGAAAACAGAGTTGATATAATTAAGAAACTTGTCTTAGAAAAATAGTGTTTGTGGAAAAATAGCATGCTATGAACATTATTGAAAAATAATTAATCTTCCATTTTTCTTTTTAGAAATGAACAGCTTCTGCAATGTCTAGAGCCCTAATATGGTGGCTGGGCCAGTGTCTGCCATGGCATCTGAACTTTGTAAAACAATAACAGAGGCAAAGTTGGAAAGACACAAGAACTTATTCTTAAATTACCGGAATCTGCATCATTTTCCTTTAGAACTGCTGAAAGATGAAGGTCTCCAGTACTTGGAAAGACTCTATATGAAAAGAAACTCGTTGACCACCTTGGTATGACTCTTTTTATATAACTAGTAAGTTGCTTGTGATGTGTAGGATCTGTGTGAAGGATGCTATTCTTGAGTCTGATGCTTCACTTTTTTCTGATTATTTACTGTAAAAAATATGCTCTTGCAAAATTCTCTACCAATCAAAAATCTATTCCTCTGAACAACGTGTATATCTAAGGCAGATTTCACAGAATGAAAAAAAAAAAAACTTCAAGATATCAGTGTATTTTAAACATGGCAGACAATTGTTCACAGCAGTGTATCTATAAAAGCCATTTCTTCATTGTCCTACAATGAGGCTAAAAGTGTCTCTGTTGAAGCCCTAGTTTTCATTGGAATGTACCACTTCATACTTCAAGCAAAAGCTCAAAATTAACGTTAGGTAGAAGCTTAGCTCAAAACCCTTTGTTGCTTGCTAGTTTTCTATGTAGAGGGAATCCTTTTGTAAAGAGGAACATTTGATTATGTGAGTTTCATGCAAATGGGGTACATCCCAGACTCATGTTTACCACCTTGGTTGTGGATGAGGCCAAAGGTAGCCCAGTGAGGAGGGAGCATGTTCTGATTTTAAAACCTGTGGGAGCTTCCTATGAATAGGGAAAGAAAATATTGACTGGCCCATGGGAATTTGCTTCAGTGTAGATATTCCTCTTCTTTCTTCACACTTCTTTACTTAAGTATACACCTCAGTGAGCAGTAAGCCTGTATAAGATCACAGATATCTGTCAACAAGTACAGGGTGATTCAAAAAGAATGGTGCAAAACCAAATAAGAACAACTTTACAGAGTATGTTTTTGAGCCTTTACAAAGTATGTTTTCAGTTTGAAGGAGTCATCCTGCCTGTGATACTGCATCATCAGATGTAGCTATGATAAAAGAGCTCCATCATTGCAGCTTCTTCCCACAAGAGCCTACCTGTTAAGCCAGGCAGTGGCCCAGCTTAAAGGCTTCCAAGAGGTTTCAGATCAGGAAATTATGATTGCGCTCTCATGATTGCTGGGCATGTTGAGATGTGTGGCTACCTTGTTTCAGTGCAACCCACAACTAGGAGAGTGCTGCAGTTGTTGTGTCCCAGGGCCCAGTTATGCAGCACCTTTGAAGCCCTTCAGTTGGATCACTGTATGGCTCAAGAGGTCGGTTTTGAAGGTCACGTTCAAACATTAATGATCATAAACAAGAGTCCCAAAACTTAAAAGATCATAAATCTGGTTTACAATTTCATAAATATTCAGCAGGATGTTAGCTCTTGATGAAAATATGAAACTGACATATCTAAGCAACATACTGTGTAGTTGAGGATGGAGGAGAAAACCTTCCACTGAGGATGTATTTTTTTTTACAGTAGTGAATGCAGCACCTAGAAGGGGCTTGCTCATCTGACTAGTGTTCTCCAGCTTGAAAGTTGAAAAGAGAAACTTCAGAACTCTCATCCAAGCTTCTGCTTATTAAAACACAACAGCATCAGCACTGTGATAATTTACTCAGTTGCTTTCTTGCAACCCCAGCCATCTGTAAAACGCACAGTAGGAACAGCATATCATAACTACACAGCATATGTCTGTGTTACTCCACAATTCAACCCAACCATTTGGGTTTGTTAGACCCAAAATCAACTTTATTGAGCAAAAGCCATTCCTACAGCTTGGCAGATGCCCAGCAAATGTACTAGTTATTGTGAAACCAAACACAACTGTCTTGGGATCTGTCTACTCCAAAATTCTAGTTTACTTTACAAAGGCAATACATCAATAAAAGCAAAGCTTCTCAGTTGAGAGATGACTAAAGCAGATTAAACGACTTTTCACATGTGTTGTTCCTTTCATTTCTCCCAAATTCTTTCAATTTCAGTTATTTCTTTCAATTCTCCTGCTGCTTAAAATGTATACATAGGTGGCAGCTTTCTAGTTTTACACAGGTTTACTCTGAAAATGGTGCTTTCTTTCAACAGGCCCAGTCTTCTCCCACAGAGCCCTCAAGCCTTCCCAGCCCACCACCACCATTAAACTTGGCTAGCACAACATAATGGTCCCCTGCAAATCATGTTATCTGCCCTCTTAATTGCTGCACCTCCTGGTCTTCATGAAGGTGCAGTCCAAAGGAAATTAAAGGATAGCTTAGTGGTTTGACTGTTGGACTACAAATCTGGAGACCAGGGTTCGATTTCCTGTTATGCCATGAAACCCACTACGTGGCCTTGGGCAAGTCATATGCTCTCAACTTCAGGGGAAGGCAATGGCAAACCTCTTCTGAACAAATGCTGCTCAGAAAACCATGATACAGTCACCTTAGGGTTGCCATAAGTCGGAAACACCTTGAAGGCACACAGCAACAACAGATACACAAATATACTCATTTGCACACTATTGTCTTCTGCTCTATGCTAATAACAAGAATCAAACCAGACTCATGACACAATAAATTTCAGTGCTGCACTCTAGGACAGAAAATGACCTTTGCTTATTGCTTCTCTGAACATGTGCAGGTCCCAGTACCAAATAAATACATTAAAGAGTTGCTCTTCAAGGCAAACTGTCCTGTTGTCATTACTGAACTTTGCAATAAAAACGTAAGAAAACATGTTTTTTAAATTCCCTTCCTACCACAAGGGATCTGCCGTAGAAATATTATTGCAAGCTAGGGAAGGATTCTTAGCTATTCACCCAGTCAGGCACCAGCCCACTAACCTGGAGAGCAGAGTGCCATACTGTCCTGTCAGTAAGAATCTTTCAACTAAGCTTTTC